CCCCTACTAGTTTTAGTCACCTTTCATGACCAGTGCTCTTCCAGGAGGATTCTCCTAAGCACCTAACTCCTCTGTTATCCCAAAAATATCCATTAATATCATTACTTATTTACCTATCTAAGTCCCATACCAGATTATGAGTTTCTTGAATAAAAGGGGTAGAGTTTTACTTGAATGTTATTATTTCAAGGGCCAAAAAAAGGGCCTGACATATAGCAGGTGCTCATACATTTTGTTAAATTTTAACAAGTGAGTGAATGAGCAAATGGATCAGTGAAAAAACAAACATAGCTTTGGCACATAGTTAAGAATATAGGTTTTACAATATAACAAACACATAAATGAATGTCTACTTGTTTGAATGCAGTGAAATGTAAAAGCAACTTTCACTGTCGATTCTACATGTAAAGATGTGATTATGTACCCAAGGGTAAGACCTTCTACCAGCTGCTTTAAAATCAGTAAAATCTAAAATAGCATAGAATATTTTTTCAGATTTCAAAATAATACCATTCTTTCATACTGGTGATGTTGTCAGAGAGAGGGAGGGAGGAAAAGAGAGAAGCAGAAAAGGGCGGAGGGAATTGAAACCATACTAGGAAGGAAGCATTCAGGAAGAAAAGCTCCTGTGTGGGAGACACAGGATGAGCGTGAGTTGCTTGGGCTATCACTTCACAAAGAGCCCAAACTTGCTTTTGCAAGTCTGAGATTCCTTGCTTATCCTGTACAAACAATGTCGTTAGGTCTGTACTACAGAAGTAATATCACTTACCTATGAATTACAGGGATACCTTGTACATATTCTGGTAGACTGCTTTTAAGTATTGATTAAATGTGTGATGATTATGTAGATCTAGGTGGTTAAGGCATTGAGAGAAAATGTCAGCTACAGCATTTTATAGCCAATGATTTTATAAAGATATACTATCTGGTGCCTAATTGCAAACTCATTAGTAACAATAGGGTCCCCTTTTTTTAAAATCCTTACTCGAGGGTATTTTTTCCCATTGCTTTTTAGAGAAAGTGGAAGGGAGAGAGGAAGGGGGAGGAGAAAGAGAGAGAGAGTGAGAGAGAGAGAGAAAGAAATATTAACGTGAGAGAAACACATCGACTGGTTGCCTCCTGAATGGCCCCTGCAACTTAGATATGTGCCCTTAACTTGGAATCAAACCTGAGACCGTTTGGTGGAGCCAATCCTCTCACCACGGAGCCATGGTGGCCTGGGTGGGTCCCTCTTGATTCCAGTGGATCAAAGCTGTTAGGTATGTGTGGGAGGACTTGGAGCTTGTACATCAGGATAAGGATAAAGTCGATAATAAAAAAAGCCAACAAGCCATGCGCAGAAACAGAATTTCAAAGGCCAAGGCAGCAGAGACAGAGCCAAAGCTAAAGGCAAGGGCCACAATTTTCCTCTAAAAGGTTGTAAATCAATTAGTACAAGGTACTAATCAATTAGGACAAAACATTCTACTAATTTTTAAGATCAATGCCCCATCCTAGAGTTGATTCTCCAGAAATTGAAAAATTGTGCCTTGAAGAAGATGGTGCTTGCTGTTGATCATTTTCATGGTAAATATTTATGGTAAATAATATTTTACATTCTGCGCCTTAAAATAGTTTAAAATATATTGTTATTGATTTTAGAAAGGAAGGGAGAGGGAGAGAGACAAACAAAAATGACGAGAGAGAATCACTGATCAGCTGCCTCCTGCATCCCCCATATTGGAGATCAAGCCCGCAATCCAGGCATCTGCCCTTCCTGAGAATTGAACCATGACTTCCTGGTTCATAGGTCAACGCTCAACAACTGAGCCATGCCAGCTAGGCTGTGCCTTAAAATTTTTAATGTGATTTATAGCTCTATCAATTTTTTAACCTAAGGAGCCAAACTAAATTAATTTCATTTTATTGACTTAATTATTTCAATGATCCTCAATAGAAAAACAACCCATGTATGTGCTTATTAGATTAATTTAAATTACCTGGAAAGATATATTAAAAATATATTTTAGAAGACGAGGTTTACCAAAAACTGTTCTGACAAATTAATAGTGAATTGTCCTTTAAAAATGATGACTAGTATATATTGTTACTAGCCATTAACTTTTATAATAATCAACAACATCAATTTACAAATAAAAAATACACATAAAATTGGTTACTTCCCATGAGTTTAAGATATTTCTTGTATAGAACCTAGGATTGGTTAGTTATATATGGCATATTTTTCTTTGATCAGCCTAATTAAAATATTTTATGTAGCAAAAACATCATAAATAATGTTTACTACATCTTACCCAATATAGCTAAGCATAGGAAAAATAACATATAGTCAATAATGCAAATATTTTTAGAAGATACAATTTAGCATAGACAGTTACTCAGTTTCTACAGTAATTCTTTTAACTGGAACCTTTTAGAAAATACTGCTGGATTGATCTAAGAATTTATTAGGGACTGGTTGATTTCATGATACACAACTGAAAATTCCTTGGGATATATTAACAACATTACTTACTCCCCTCTTTTATTATAAACTTCAAATAAATTTTATTATTTTATTATATTATTAAAATATTCAAATATTATAAAACATGACAATATATTTGTTGTCATGAAAGTGCTTCTTTGGCCTAGAGGTGGTTCTGAATTTCGTATTATTTGTATCTTTAATCTCGCATATAACAATAATTTCCAAGTCCAATGTCATTTTCTGGTTATTTTAAAATAAACAGTTTAAAATAACAATGCTACTCTCATTCATGTATGTTAACTAGCCTTAGAGATGCAAGATGTGTAAAGTGTGTGTAAAGAAGTAGAAAGAATCAGAAGGTGTGAAAATGAGAAAAATGTCTTGTGGGGCTTTTAGTACATTGATATACCCTTTTTTACAGCAATATCAAAATGGAGCAAACACATAAAGAAGCTCATACTTCTAACCCAGTGGTTTCACTCAAGAAAAAAACTGAATCGATGAGGAGTGGGATACATGAGGATATTATCCGTGGTATTCTAAATATGATAAATAATGAAGAACTATCTCAGCGGTTAATGAGAGGAAGTAGTAATTAATATGATAACATCTACAATGAAGTATATAATACAACCTTTAAAAAGAAAAATAAGACTAGGCAGCATGGAAAAGCTTATGATATAATGTTAATGGTCTCCACAATGAATGACAATAACATAAAACATATATTCATGAATACAATGATCAAATAGTCACATACAAACTGAAAATAGCTATTGTTCATCTTTATTATTAATTCTTAATCATACTGATATGACACCTTTAAAATTAAAATACTAGGCTCACTCATTAATTATGTAACTTCTTTTCTAAGTTCTAGTAGACAGTGCAACTAAATCTATTGTATGTGGAACACTAAAAAGACTTGTGGGGTTTCATTCAAGTTAGGTGTCTTAATGGACCCTTACCATGTTGGTAATTCACAGGTATTTTCAAGGTACCTCCCAGTAGGGTCTAAGACAATAGGAAATGAGCTGTGGAGGCACAAACACCCACGGAGTTGTTGTCCTTTTATTTATTTATTTTTTTAGATGTACATTTTGACTCTCAGGCTCTTCCGACTCATTGTCACTACGGATTGCCTCAAACATTCTTAGCATGTTGAAAACGTGCTATTAATTTCCACACACTTTTTTCATCCCAATCAGTAGGCTGCTTCATGAATCAGATAAGGAAAGTATTAGAGATCCAAAGGCTGAGGTTTCCAAAAAGCAATTAAGGTAAAATTGAAGTAAATGAAGTAGGAGTAAATTAATTAAGTTGAGAAGTAAATTGAAGAAAGAAAGGAAGAAGGAGAAAAAAAAAAAAAAACTGTGGCCAAGGTGGGGAACTCAGAGGCTACAGGAGGGACCAGAGGATAACAGAAAGGAGCGCAGCAGGCTGGGTGCAGTGACGGGGAGGGAAGAGGCAGGGCCACTGCAAAGCTTGGCCTGTGTAAAAGCAGCAACCGGCCCCCAGTGCTAACGGGTTGCTGACATGCATGAAGCAGACCCAAGACTGGCAGATACTCAGAATCGTTCAACGTAGGTGCCCATGTGAACTCTCTGTGTTTCTGTTGACGACTCACTTAACTAGTTGTAACTTTTCATTCCCTGTACGGCCAAATGGATGCCTTTCGGCTTGTTTTGTTCCACGGGCTTTCTCGTGTGCCCCCTCTGTTATCTTTATTTGCCTGAAGTCACGTTTTCAATCGAGGCCCTTCATAGGCCAAAGAAAAAGAAAAATGCAAAATGGTGAAGCTGTGAGCACATGGGCTTGCAAACTGCAAGAACATCGCAGCAAGACTCGCATGTTCCTGAGGAGCAAAACCTCGGAGGATTTCACTTTGTCTGTAATGACGGAGGAAACATTCTGAGTCACTACAAAAAGGAAATGAGCCCCAAAGGCTTTTTGTTAAAAATGACCAGAACGAAACGACCAATTTTGACCAAGATGGAATTGCTATGAGCTACCACATGGCAAATAGGATACAGGTGTGTGTCCTGCGTTGCACCTGCCTGCGGCAAGTTTCTGGTCACCTATCCTATTCCTTCCAACTCTCACTTTCCAGCCTCGGCGGTTACTAAGGTGACCAGACGTCCCGCTGTTGGCAGGACAGTCCTGATTTTTAACAATTTGTCCCACGTCCCGTGGCGTTTTAAAAAAGTCCCGATTTTTGGAAAGATTATTTAAATCTTTTGGACTTTTTTAAAACGCTGCGGGACGCAGGACAATTTGTTAAAAATTGGGACTGTCCCGCCAACAGCGGGACGTCTGGTCAAACAGAAGTCCCGGTGGTCGACTGGCTGAGGAAAGGAGGACCCGGGAGGCTAAGGGTAAAGGTGTTTTTTTAGTTGAAAGGTAGGAATTTCCCCGTCATCAAAGTGAGGCTCTGCGGATGGGAGGGCAGGAGTGGGTGGGAGGATGGGGAGAGCTGTCTAGTCAACTCATCATTTGCGTCACATGCACCCAAGGAAAAAATGTTTACCTGGTGGAGCCACCGTTAACCTTTTTTCCTTGCTGAGCCGGTGCCCTTGGATGAATTCACTCATGGAAGGGGGGCCCTTCAGAAGAAATGACTCTGTGGAGTTGGGGTCAGGGGGAACGCTTAATAAATTCTGGAGGTAGGACGCCCCTGAAGTCCTGGGACGGCTCTGATCACAAAGGGAAGGTGAAAATTGTCTTGCAGGAGATCCAAGAAAATACATATAGGAAACAAAAAAGTTTTACTTTAATTACCTTTCAAAGCCTCACCAATGACAACATTATTTATATTGGCATTTAATTTTTTTAACATGTAAATCAATATTTTATTTTTTTATTATTAATTTTTTTTTTTTTTTTTGCTAATTGCTTAGTTTCCACTCCAGGTTACAACCCCATTTAGAAACTGTATTGGAAACTGAGAAAGAGATTTATTATAGTTAGTTTGAACCACAAATAAGAAAATACGTATATTATTTGATTTCTTACTGAAAGCTCCTAAAATATAAAAATCTGACTATTAACTGAAAATAGAGGGTTAAGTAACTCAACATCCAGGACTCTGGGAAAAAGGTCAGAAAGGCCACTGACAACCTTACACGTGATTTCTTGGAGCAATATTCGCATACCAGATGAAAATGCACAAAAACCTGCTTTAAAGAAAAAGACTATACACATTCCATCCCACTCTACCTAAATACAGACATCTCCTTTAGTCGGCTGTCCGTTTTGGTAACACAAACAAAAGTTCCCTCAGAGAACATATCCATATCCCGGCCCCATTAAAGAGAAGCTGCTAACAGCACCATTACCAGAGGTACCATGATTTTTAAATTGACCATCCATGTAAAACATAGCATCCTTCTTCATATCCATCTTTTATCTACCAAGTTTTAGGCTGGAGGTAAGGGAGAGGTATATTTGTGCATATAAGAAACAGCAAAAAATGTTGACAGACACCGAAGTTATTTTATGGTTAATTAAAAGTTGGGGTGTGAGGGACAGAAATGAGTAAATAAACATAATTATCCAACGGTTTTGATTTTTTAAAAAATACCAACATTAGCAAGGCCCATTTATACACCCACTCCCAGTTTTTCTCCTCCTTCCCTTCCTCCATCCTCCACAATAAGCACACATCAATTTTTGCAGTTAACGAACATCTGGCCACTGCACCACACTGTGAAGATTGCTGCATGCATACCTTTTCCTCTGAGTGCCACCGCTGCCCCGAATGTTGGGTGTCTGTGGGCCCTGCCTATGCAGGAGGTAAGTGTCTATGGTGGGCACGGTGCCTGAAGCCTCCCCACTTACTTTAGGGCTGCCGATCTTGCTCTTTCCAAATTTGCCTTTGCTGCGTCTCGACTGCTCATGGTCAAATTCTAAGTCCTCCAGCCGCTGGGTCAGGGCGAGTTTTTGCTGGATAGCCATTCGTAACAAAGTATTTAGAGTCTTCTTCTCGTCCTCTGCGGCTGCTAACTGTCTCTGCATCTCATCCAACTGGGTGACATACTCATCACATCTGGAACCAAAACAGAAACGTGGTCAGGAGAAAAACCTAGGTGAAACTGGAGTCGGATTTCAGTGGGAAAGGAATGGATTTTACTGGAATACGGTGGTCTTATTCCAGCAGAAGTGAGGTAACCTACGCTAACAGAAAATTAGAAACTGTAGAGCAGGTTCCATAACTGATGGTTCATCTATATCATGGAGTACATATTGGGACATTCTTTTAAAAATATATATATTTTTATTGACTTCATAGAGGAAGGAAGAGAGAGAGAGAGAGAGAAACATCAATGATGAGAGAGAATCATTGATCAGTTGCCTCCTGCACTCCCCCTACTGGGGATTGAGCCCACAACTGGGGCACTGAACCATGACTTCCTGGTTCATGGGACAACACTTAGCCAAGGAGCCACACTGGCTGGGCTGGGAACATTCTTAATCTGTGACATCTTCAACCCCTTATTGTGGGGGCTGCTGCATGATGGCACAGGATTAAGCAGACAAGTCTCAGGCAGAATCTTAGGTGAGTTACAGGTGGCTTTTTCTATTGTGTGATGTGTTCTTCAGAGAATTGTGTGTGACAAGTGTGTTATAGGCTATGCCTGTAACATGCAAAAAAATAATAATGTTTGTAAAGAAAACATTTCCTTCTTTATCTATATTTATAGGTTCTATTTTAATGAAGCATAGATTGCAGCTGCCACTGCTTTCAATATGGCAGGTTTGTTTGCATTAGAAACCTGAGTCTTTTCAATGATTTTTCAACCAGATGATTAAGCAATAAATGTCAAAGAAAGCCAAGATGAGCCTAGGATTTGTGCTGCAGCAGGAAGATACGCTCATTGGTCTTTTATCCACATCAAAGGTAAAACCTGAGCACACATACTGTTGGGAGAAAGAAATCTACATAATAAAAGTGTGATATGCTAAGTGTCCTACCCGTCAGTTGACTCACTTGACTAGTCACTATGACGTGCACTGACCACCAGGGGGCAGATGCTCTGACTGGTAGGTTAGCTTGCTGTTGGGATCTGGACAATTGGGACTGGGCAAGAGGGCTGGCCATGCCCTGGAGCCCTCTGTGGCCCTTCTCCACTGGCCAGCCCCCATGACCCCAATTGGGACTGGATGAGATGGTCCTGATTGCCGGCCAGGCTGAGGGACCACAACCATGCATGAATTTGTGCACCGGGCCTCTAGTTATTCACATTAGAGTTTTTTTCCGAGTTTATTTACCCACTATGATAATAATAATAACAAGTACTTTTTATATACCAATAGATAGTTAATGATTTTGTGGAGTAGTCCAAAACGTATTGTATACACTTTGCAATCAGCACAAACCTTATGGCATTTTAAAGAAAAAAACAGACCCTATAGTGAAATAAATTGAGATCTGGGTAGGTCCCCATTTTCTTTAACTTTGAATGTCAAAAAACACATAGGGATTTCATAAGAAAATCTAGGGCTTAGTAAAATAGAATGTAAATTTCAGGATCCTGGATTTATTAAATTGGCCAGATAACAATATTTTTTAAAATACTATGGAGCAAATAAGGCAGTTACTATCCCAAAAATAAGACAAATTTCTGTAAAAATGCATTATTTGGGGGAAATAATCTAACCTAATAATAGAGCAATATGCAAACTAACCATCACTCCATCACACAAGCCACACCCACCAGCCAATCCGAGTGAATATGCAAAATTAACCCAACAAAGATGGTGGTTAATTTGCATATGTGGAGGAAGGGAGGAGTGAAGACTGAAGACAGCATAGAAGGAAGAGGGAGGGAAAGTGGAAAGCAAGGCAGCTGTGGCTGCTGGAGGGAAAACACTGGCAACACGTGTGGGGCGGGGTGGGGTGAGGTGTACAGCAGCAGGAGGCAGCGGGTGCAGCAGGCTGGGTGGGGCACAGGCAGCAGTGGGCATGGCTGGGGAGGCAACGGCAGCAGTGGGGGGCAGAGGGTTAGGCATGTGGGGCGAGGTACGCAGTGGTCATGACACTGCTTGTAGCCACGGAGACGGTGGCAGCAGTGGCTGCGGGCATGATGGGGCAGGTGGGGATGGGCGCCCTGCTCACCGCAGTGGGAGAGATGGGGGGGTCGGGAGGGGTGGGGGTGGGGGAGCGGAAAGGAAACTTGCAGGAAGTCTTACAGGAATATTCTTGCAACAGGTGCCTAGTTCTTATATAAACCAGATTAAGACTTTCAATGTCCCTTTAAAAAGATCTGATTTCCTTTTCAAAAAGGAAATTTGTGTTCTTGATTCTACATATCATCCTGATTGGTTTCTTTCATCAGTGAGGGGTACGTGCACTATCCGAATTCTCTATCTTGCCTCCCCTCACAGTGGCCAGAGATGCATTTATTCTCCCCAAACTCTTATGCTTCAGTCCCTCCCCCCAACCTCCTCACCCCAAGTTCCATTGGGCACACAGCCGCCTCACTGCCACCTCCGAGAGTCAGTCACAAAGTATGAGCTTGAGCCTTTCTCTCCTGACACCCAAAGAAAGCTGGGCAGGTTCCTAGGATTTTGTTTTACACTGATATCAGCTATATGTAAATTATTTAATGAATCTGCAAATAAAGGCATATTGATGGTTTGTGAGCTTTGTATCAAGTTTGCATCATATAAGATATATAACTGTGTTTATTTTGGCAATACGTTGTGACAGCAAAAAAGGTCACATATTGAGATCTCAGGATTTTGAATGCCTTGAATCAACAGATTCTTAATAATCACTTCAAGTTTAAAAACAAAATACAGTGGTACCACATAATGAAACTGGTGGGAGGGAGGTACTAAAATTTGGTGAGATAATTACACTTTAGAAGTTATAGTTTCATCAGTGTATTTAAGTCTAAGTAATTAGCTGGTATAATGAATATTAATCTTCATTATAATGGTATCCTTCTCATACAATATTTATTAATGATAAGCACTTTGGTGATAGTGAATTTCAGTGGTGATAATAGTTAGCTACTTTAGCAAATAGGACTTTTCCCCTTGTTGGAGAATTCTTTTGTGTGTTCTAATTCTTTTCGGTACATTAAGTTCTATTGTAAATATAGAAAAAATGTCTCTTGTATTAACTTAAAATACTTCTGTGTAAAGGAATTGCTTGATCCAGTGTGTCCAGTAGAGGGCTCTGGAAAACAGCACGAGAGCTGGTATCTCTGGTTTGTCAAGAGTGGAATCTTTTTTCACGTTTACACTCAGCATGCAGGAAGATACCCGTGTGAATTCCAAAGTCTTTCCCCCATGGACCACACCTAGTCTTAGAAGAGAAAACGATTACCTTGTTGCAAACATTGCTCTCAGGGATGAGAAAGTTGCTGCATCTTCTTTCAGAGCCTTCAGTTCATTTCTAAGTTTTGTCATCGTCTCAGTCACCATCGCTTTCTCATTTTCATATTTGTTCTTGAGATTAGCTAGTGCCACCTCAGCTGTCTAAAGTGGAAAGATCACAATGCTTACAACTTTCATATCAGGAAAATCTATCACACAGATTTCTTCATGCTGGGAATATTACTTTCTTTCATAAATGGAGGTGAAATGGACTTGGCTATATTTTATATAAATATAGATATGTATTTTGGACTCAAGGCAGTTTCCCTTTAATGTCAAAATGTGTTGTGAATCCATGTGGTGAGATTTCCCTAGAAGCTGCCTGTGTCAGTATTAAGAACTAAGGCAATGATAGTTCAGTAAATATTTAATGTAGATTGTTGAGAGGGTATGATTTTTCAGACATGAAGAAGCCAAAATGAAATTTTACACAAGAATTTTATCAACGAAAAGTTAGGGGAAAAGCACTGCTTCCAACTGAAATGCAATAGAACTCAAATATTCTTGTCACCTGAGCTCTGTGGGCCAAAAACAAAGATGTAAGCCAAGCATGTCAAACTCGCAGCCCACAGGCTGCATGCAACCCTATAACGAATATTTTCGCAGCCCAGCCAATATAACAGCATGTAAGAAACGTTTTAATAAAAATTTTGTAGCCTAATTTTTACAATATGCTGCTATACATAAATGTTAATAAAGAACTACAACTGTTCACTGATTGATTACTATAATAGTATTGCATTCACTTCCCTTAATGGCCTTAAGCGTAGGTGCACCATTTCTCTCCACTCATACTAGCAGCGAATATTTTAGCAGCTGATGGCTACGTCATTAGTTTTGTACTGACTTGGTTAGTGTGCACAACAGGAAATATTTCGCTTTTGGAGAACAAGAAAAGTAGGTTTATTTGCGTTACACTTATTAATTTGTGTAATTTTTCAGTGTCTGATAAGTTAATGTTCAAGAAAAATATTTTTATTAAAATGTTCTATTATTTTATGTTAATGATTACTCATTTATTTCAACCCTTTGTATCCAGCATGTCTCCATTGAAATAAACCTACATTTCTATGAAAATTGAAGCTTTTGGGTTTTTTTGCGGCCCACATAAACTTAAACCTTGTTTATCTGGCCCGTGTTAGCATTTGAGTTTGATATGCTTGATGTAGGCCATTGAAATTTATGATGAGCATCTGATAAACTATTAATCCAAATTTTATGTTTAAGGAAAAAAATTAACAAAGAACCAATGATTTCTGATGCCTTTACATACAACTTCTTCAAAACATTCAAATTTAATAATCAGATTTTAATAATCAGAAAATAAAAATAATCAAATTTGAATATAGTCAAATTTAATTCTTCACAATGCCCATAAAAGAAAAAAATTCCAAAATGGTGAATGAACTAAAATATTTATTTGAATTTGGGCATGTTAGAAGTTTTAAGAATAATTAAGCTTGACACATGGCAGGAACTAAAATTTAAAAATGTTGAGTGAATCTATTAATGAAATGAATGTATATTTAAGGGCTGTCTGTTAGGTGCATAGCACATGGTATGCATATTGAAGCCAAACTGAGAACACACCATTTTTTACAAACTGCCAACTATAGCTTTCCGGCTATCTAAAAATATTCAATACTAATGAAAAAGTCCCTTAATAATGAAAGGAAATCCATTACTAATATGATTTCCCAGGAACACTACCCTGGTTTTTAACATTTCTTTTTGTGCTTGAAATGGACAACTTCAGTTTTCTTAAGCAATGCACAATTTCTATGGAGGTAAACGGATTCTTTTTAAATTAAAACAATGTTGGGATGGGGTAGTTTGTTCATGTTTTGATTATAAAGTAGTTCCTTATTAGTTTTGATTGAATTTAAGTTCAAATTGAAATGATTTGAAATGATTCCACTAAATTATAGCACTACAGGACATATTGAACTAATTATAATTACTCATAAAATAGTGCAATATGTCCTGTAGTGCTATAATTTAGTGGAATCTTCAGAAATATTATAAATTCAGAAAATTGTTTGGAATGCAGAAATTGACCTGGGGAAATGGCTGTTTTAAATTTTTAAAAAGAAATTATGCACATATCCATTTAGAACAGATAGTTAAGTTTAAGTTGTGCAAATGTAGATATAACAAATTTGTAAGCATATGGAGCCTCATGGTCAGTTATCTAAGGAGAGGTGAGTGGCGAGGGTGAGTGGGGGGAACAACAGAAAAACAAGATCTGAAATAGAAGTACAAAGTTATTTATTATTTGTGAGAAATGCCCCCAAAGGATTCAGCACTGTTGATTTATTTGTCCAGACTGTATAACACTTTTTCAGAATTAAGTAATTCTAAGTATCTATGTATAACCCATTAGTACATTTGTTGGCATCAGTAGCATTTGCTATATTCTTCAAACTCTCCCAAATTTTACTTTCTAAATAAAAATCTTGTTTCTAGCCACAAAGACCTTCAAAATCATTCTTTAAATATATCTTTCTCTTCTGTGCCTCAACCGCCTACTGTTCTTTCTGTCTGGAATTATTTCCTCCTCTTCTAGAAAACAACTCCTCACCCTGTAAGAACAGACACAGGAATAATTCCTTCTATGAAGTTTTCTCTAACTCTTCTAAAAGGCATTAGATAATTCCTCTGCAATGTTCCCCTAACTCGATTACAGCACGGAAACGTCAAACTGTAATGACCTGTTTCTATTCTGACTTCCCCACTGGTCTGTGACTCCTCCTCTGCGGGGTCAGGGACCCTGGATGAGTCTTTGAATCTTTAGCATCGAGCACAGTTTAGTAAACAGAGGGTACTTCATAAACATTTGCTTGTTCATCAGAAGACACTGTGCTTACCAAAAAAAATTTTTTTTTAAATTTCTAAATCATATTAAAAGACTCATAGAGAATGCAGAAAACTTTTAAAATAAAAAATTCCTTTTCCTGCCGAAACCGGTTTGGCTCAGTGGTAGAGCGTCAGTCTGCGGACTGAAGGGTCCCAGGTTTGATTCCGGTTGGGGGCATGTATGTTGGTTGCGGGCACATCCTTGGTAGGGGGTGTGCAAGAGGCAGCTGGAAGATATTTCTCTCTCATCGACGTTTCTAGCTCTCTATCTCTCTCCCTTCCTCTCTGTAAAAAATCAATAAAATATATATATATTTAAAAAATTCCTTTTCCTATATCACAGAATTCTCACTTAGCCTTAATAATTTACATTCCACATGCAGAAATATCATGAATGTTGTCTGTAGACACTTGAAGCTACTTACGGCATATATGCATCACAGCAATAGGCCCAGCATCATTAAAATGTGAACTAAATGCACAGCTAGAAATGTGTTCTCATTTAATTTACTGAGTCCATAAAGGCTATGACGTTAGCATAATGCAAATGGTACCAGAGCCAGAAATGCTTTGTTCTGCTCTGAATTCCTATGGCACTGTTTATGCCATTCTTAAGTGCTTGCTATGTATTATCTTGTAGACAGTTCTGGGCATTGTTGAACTCCTTCGAACTAGATGATCAGTTACTTATTTTTTCATCCTTACTGCCTGCCTGCCATGAAATATGTAATCAATGAGTGCCTGCTCACAAATTCATCTCTCTTGGCTGATCAACCATCCTTATTATCTAACCGCTGTGTCAGTTATGTGTTTTGACTTTCTTATAGATCTAGGTCTCTAGGTTGTTAATATTCAACCTTCAAGAAGAAATCAGAGAAGTTATCTAAATGGTTTTATCACAAATACCCTGGATATAATGTCCTTGAAAAAGGTTGTCTTATCTGATATGGTATTGATTATTTATGACCACTCTAAATCACTGGGTCTTTGGATTGTAGCAGGATTTATGATAACAAATTCCTTAATTCTGATCTCAAATCGGAGTCAGATCTCTCACACATTCTCCATTCACCCTAATCTTTTCTATTTCTCTGAACTGATGGCACAAAAGTAGGACCTACTTCATTCACCCTTAGATTTATATAAAACATGTTCATAGTGTGGACAATATTACTGTTTGTGGTATAGACCTCCAAATTATATGAATGGATTTATGGGAACTGTGGATGAAAATGCTGGAGAGCTGCACTGTAGATGACAAAATAAATGTGTGGTTTCCCCCAAAGGTAAAAGGAAGAACTCTGAATCTGAAATGAACCTCTAATACTAGCCCAGCTGACATTTGTAAGAAGGTATCTGATGCCTTGTTGCTTCTCTTTAACACCCTTTTAGCACCCTCCTCAAATCTGTCTTTCAGGGCTCATTTTCTACAGAAACTAAAGAAAAGTTAAAAATATTTTCCTGTCTATATTTCACAGCATAGCCACCCAGGTAAAGCTCAAGGTGGGAAACAAATCCAGTCATCAAGGAGATCTTGGAATTAGGCAGGTAGGGCCTTGTGGTAGCATCCTTACTTATTCCAGAGGATGAGATCTGTGGTTAGGAAAAATTCTCTACTGCTTAAGCTCTAACCCAAGAGAATTAATATCCCAACTGAAACTAAACTTCAGATATGTAGTCACTGGCACAGCTAGTGCACATGTTACCTTAATCTCTACCTGTTTCTCTACCTCTCTCTCTCTCTCTAGGTGACTCCCCTCTGTTTGCTCTGGCTGCCTGCCAGGCTTTCTTTCTTGCTATATCTCCCTGTTGTAAGTTGCCATGCCAGCCTATTCTGCCACCCCTCCACCTCATGTTTTCATACTCAGTGATAGCTGGTCTCCAGCTAAGTACTGCCTGAACAGCCTTTCTATGTCTGCGTGGATCCTCTCCTTTGTTCCTGCTTTAATTTCTTCACTTCTACCTCCACCTAATGGAGCATAGCGACTCTCCTATTGCTTCCATTCACTGAGCTAAAAACAATTATTACATTCTGACCTGGTACTGGAACTTAGTTTTATTTCCTCACTGACCAGGAATCTGAACTCTCATCCTGATGACAGTGGGACGCTCAAAAACATTAAGGACTAAATGCGTTAGGAAGGTGGTGGCTAGCATGCGTGGTCAGTAGGATGAGGTCACCTGCTTGTTGGCTTTCAACACAGCCCTCAGGGTGGCGATCTGCTCCCGTTTGGTGCTCAGCAGGGACTTGAGCTTGAGGATCTCCTCCATTAAGGCTTCCTTGTCTTTATCGATCATGGGGGCCAGCTCCCGTGCCGCTGCTCTCTGACGAGACAGCTGCAAGGACCGGTCCACGGCTTTCTGCAGATGCTTGATTTGGTCCCGGATAATGGCATTAAGGTTGTAGATATTCATTGGCTCTTTGCGGATGTCACTTGTGTCTAATACTGGAGATGATGGTGGGGCAGTAATTATGGGAGAGATGGTGGGGGTCTTGGTTGGGCTTGGTTCTTTGCTGGCCTCTGTGTTTTCTTTTGTAATCGGTTCAGAGGAGGTCCTTGATTCCACTGGGGATGACACACCCCGCCTGGCTAACCGTGGAGACAACAGTCCCCTGGGATCATCAGGCCCTTTTAGGCTGCCACTACGAGTAACTCGGCTTTGCCTATAGTAGTCCAGCATGACCCTGTTGGGGGTTTCATTGTTACACAGACATACATGGTGGTAAAGCTGAGCTAGCTCCTCACTAAAGGTCACCAACTCATCCTGGGCTGTGTTAAGGGTGTTGTGATTTTCGTTGGCTATGCTGGTCATCTTTTGCAACTCCTTCTCCATGTGGGCCATCTTCTCTCCACTCTCCTTGGTGGTCTTCTCAAGGCTTGTCACCTGCTCATCATACATTTGGATCTTACTCTCATACTTGGTCTTTTCTTCAGTATAGTTTTCTACAGATTTATTGTATTTCTCCTTTAAGGCTTTAATTTCAGCTTTCAAATCGATCACCTCGGTCACTGCCACCCTGTATTTGCACTCCAGGATCTCTAAGCCATTGATGTCCACCTCATAGTCATGCGCCTCTTCCTCTGGGACCCGGCCCTTCTCCCCATCCAGCTCAGTCTTGAGCTCCTTGCTGCTCTGTAGGCCCCTCATGGCGTTGACGTGCTCCGTGAGCCTGTGCACCCGTTCGTGCTGCTCTGTCAGTGCCCCCTTGGTGTGCTCCAGCTGCGTCTGTGACTCCTGGAGATTGGCCAGAAGAATGGCCTTTTCCCGCTCTACCTGCAATAAAAAAAGAAAGTCTCTGAATGCCTTCAATGCAATGCCACTGATGAGCTGAATCCATTCAATGTGGGACATAAATACATTTAAAGTAAGTGCAACAGACCCAATGTCCCAATTATTTCAAATTAAATTGGAGTGTGTTTGCTTATTTCAGCAGTCCTAGTGAGTCAATCACTCTGAAAGCACATCATTCTAAAACAATTATGCTATGCATATTTACCCATCCAAATTCTCATGCATTATACACATCCACTCATGAAACTTGAATGTTATTCAAACAATCTTATTTTTATCTTTTCACACTTCACAGAAAACATAACATGACTTCAAGAGATAGTACTTGGCTCAGTCTTTATTTTGAGAACCTGAGAGTGTATCTGCTCCTTGGTTCACGTGGGATAAGTAGGTGCCTATGAATCATCTTTTCCTTCCCAGAGCTTAACCCAAAGTCAGGTTAAAACTCTAAGACTCTAACTTATAAATACTGCTGAGAACCTTAGACATTCCCTTAAAAACAAGCATTTAATCCCCCAAATAAACATATACTAAATTTGAGAGCTTTTAATACAAAAGCCAAAGAATATAGAGTTTTAGGATTCAAAGACCAATTTACAAATCATTTCAATTCCTTCACTCCAAAATAAGAATTTTTAAAATTGGTAATTAATCTGAATAATATGACAACTTTGTTATTATATAGGTGGTATTACTGTATGCTGGAAAATATTCAGGGCTCAATATAAAACAGTGTGTCATTAAACCAAGTCTATGAGAAATTATAATCTGAAAAATTGTAAAAACCATTTCTGCCTGACCTACATGGCTCAGTGGTTGAGTGTCGACCTATGAACCAGGAGGTCACAGTTTGATTCCTGGTCAAGGCACATGTCTAGGTTGCATGCTTGATCCCCAGTGTGGGGTGTGCTGGTCACCCCTAATCAGTTGATCAATCATTCTCTCTCAACATTGATGTTTCTATTTCTCTCTCCCTTCCTCTCTGAAATCAATAAAAATACATATATTTTAAAAAGAACCATATCTGGGAGAAACCAAGATGGTGGCATAGGGTAGACACCCGAATGCAGCCTACCACAACAAATTTGATCTCTCAGTTCCTTCATAATAGCACCTCTAGAAAACATTAAATAGAACATTGCTCTTGTGTGCCTACACTCCACATACAGTGCTGTTTTCCACACTCAACACATTTCTGGGGAAACCACTTGAGAATGGAATGATATCCATATTTTACACACACACACACACACACACACACACACACGCGCGCGCGCGTTCCAGACAATTTTTTTTTGTCTAACAAAAAAAAAAAAAAAGGAATTACTAAATTATAGATCATTTTCTAAAAACTAGCATTATATTTTCTCTTAGCTATTGAGGCTTAATTGTATCTGGATTTTAGAGAGTCAGAAAGCAGTGCTTAAACTATTTATGATACATTGTGCTTCGAATTCATAAAGGCTAAGCACTTAAAAGATTAAAATGATTAACCATTGAACTGTGCTATTTTAATCTCCATTTGTAAACTTATCCAACAGAGACTTTCTCATTTAATTATAATGATCTATACTAGTAGTGACTGAGAATAGTTGTCTTATTTCACTTTCTACAATCTTTATCTTCTAAGTAGAACTGGGGATTTTACTTTTTTGGTCATTTTACCAGAAAACCTGCATGCTAAATTTATAAACTGTTTAGTCCAGTATAAGTATATATCTTAACTATTATTGCTGTTGTTATTATGTCCCATAGAAATTATGCTTAATTTCGCTGAATGTTTATCTTTTCAATAAACACATTTACATCTATTGAGAACTGATAGATTCTTTTGTGAAGGAACAACAATAAAAAATATATCCAGATTTGCACATTCCTAATAGGACTTCTACAGAATAAAAAATTTAAAAAAATCAAAGCTATTCATTTCCATAAAGTTTTAAACCTGGTCATGGGACACTGGACTGATTGGTGTGAATCTAGTAGTGGTATGCATAGTATCAACATACACAAGTAGAAATTAGAAATAAATAACTTTTTTTTTTTTTTTTTTTTGCTTGAGATGAAGTTTCTCTGGCAATGCATACCTCTGCTCTGATGAAGGAGAAGTGTGAAAAAACCTTAACATAGAACTAAGAAACACTAGGTGAGAGAATTCAGCAGTTGGAAAAGAAGAGAATATAGTTTGGAGATTGTGGTAAAAAGAAAACTCCTTTATTCTCCCTTTCTCTTATGCCCACACACATATGCAAAAGTCATACAACTGTACAAAGACAAAAAAAAAAAAAAAAAAAAAAAAAAAAAAAAAAAAAAAAAAAAAAAAAAAAAGATGGGGTAAGACCCTTTCAACTTATTCTGAGGCCACTATTACTGATACCAAAACCAGATAAAAGATGTAACAAGAAAAAAAAACACACACAAAAAACAACAACCTACAGACCAATGTTTCTTATAAATACAGACACAAAAATCCTCAACAAAATAGCAAACTAAGTCCAGCAATTTGACAATCAACTGGGATTTATCTTAAGAATACAACATTCAAAATTCAATAAATATAATCCACTGTATTAGTAGAATATAGAGCAAAAACCACACGATCGTCTTAATATATGCAAAAAAAGCATTTGACAAAATTCAATACCTCTTCATGATAAAAATAGTGAATAAATGTGTAAATAGAAAACTTTCTCAAGGTATTATATTAAGTGAAATAAGCCACAGATAAAATATTTAATGGTGAATATTTTCCTCCTAAGATCAACAACAAGACAAGGGATAATGCTCCTGCTACTTTTATTCAACATTATACTAAACGAGGCTATGATCAAAAGGCAAATGATAACAAGTTTTGGCAAGGATGCAAAGAAATCAAAATACTCATACACTGCTGATGGAGAAGTAAAATGGTACAGTTACTTTGGAAAACAGTATGGTGGTTACTTAGAAGATGAAACATAGAGCCATCATATGGCCCAGCAATTCCACTCCTAGTATATATACAAGAGAATTAAAACATGTGCACACAACCCAGACTGTGTTGCTCAGTGGTTGAGCATCGACCTATGAACCAGGAGGTCACAGTTGGATTCCCAGTCAGGGCACATGGCCGGTTTGCAGAATGGATCCCCAGTAGGGTGGGTGCAGGAGGCAGCCAATTGATGTTATTCTCTCACATAGATGTTTCTCTCTGTCTCTCTCTCTCCCCCTACTCTTTCTGTAAAAATCAATAAACTATTATTTCCAAATAAACAAACAACCCCACACACACACTGGGTTCTACCCTTTAAATAGGTGGGCTGTAATGGTACATGAAGCTCTTCATAAAACTCTTCTTAAGAAAATCTACATAGATACTTCCCCTGGTTTCAATTGCAGATGCTCTTTTTATGTTTACTGATATACATTAGAAAAGTGAAGCTTTTGGGAAATATGTTTGGTTATAAAGCTATAAAAGTAATCTTATACTGTGAAGTCTGATATTTTACTTAATTTTTTGACAGTTTCTAAATGTAATTTTAATTTTAAAAAATCTTTATTGTTGACAGTTTTACATATGTCCTCTTTTTCCCCACATTGATCCCTTCAAGCCTGTCCCCAGGCCTTCACCACTTATTGTCTGCATCCCATGGGTTAATGCATATATGCATACAAGTTCTTTGGCTGATCTCTTCCCACCACCCCCCATCCCCTTCTCTCTGAGATTTGACAGTCATACTTCTATGTCTCTGGATCTATTTTGTTTATCAGTTTATTTTATTCATCAGATTCCACATATGAGTGAGATCATGTAATATTTGTCTTTCTTGGGCTGGCTTATTTCACTTAATATAATACTCTCTAGGTCCCTCCATGCTGTCTCAAAGGGTAAGAGATCCTTCTATTTTACATCTGCACAATATTCTATGATACAAATGTCCCACAGCTTTTTTTATCCACTCATCAACTGATGGGCAGTTAACTATTCAATAGTTTATTACTGAAACTATAGCTTATAAATTTTGTACTGGAAAATTGTATTTATCACTTCAAGTTTTAAAAACAAGTAAAATTCGAAGAGTTTTTTCCTGCTTAGTTCTGTGAAGGTTACAGATATGTAAACCCAGGGAAGTTTAAACAAAGACCAGTAGCTAAAGCTGTAGCCTACCCTTGCTGACAAACTATTTTCTGCCCCACCTGGGCAACGTGGGAGGGGGAAGGAAAAAAAAAAAAAAAAAAAAGAGCAGTTTTACTCAGACAAGACAGACAAGAAGCTTTTGGTTCCAAAAGCAGCAGAATAAGAGGCGGCACTGGTGGGACCTTGCAGGCACTTAGAAAAGGACCAGGACAGGGGAAATTGGCAAAGCCCCGCTGGCATCATATCCGTTAAACATATGGTGGGGGCCCTAACTGGTTTGGCTCAGTGGATAATGCATCGACCTGTGGACTGAAGGATCCCAGGTTCGATTCCAGTCAAGGGCATGTACCTTGGTTGTGGGCACATCCTCAGTAGGAGGTGTGCAGGAGGCAGCTGGTCGATGTTTCTACTAACTCTATATATCTCTCTCTTCCCCTATTTAAAAAAATCAGTAAAATATATATTTTAAAAATAAACATCTGGTAGGCAGCATAGGTATTAATGGGGACCAGCTGGTCCACGTCTGCCTGTGACGTCACAAACCACGCAGGCCCTGCAGAAGTGGGAGCTGAGTTAACTATGAGGTGATTACAGCTTTGCAACTTCTGTGCCCTTGGGGGCACGGCAGCAAGGGAATGGAGGGGCGGTAGGCGTGACCTCCCACCATTTCCTCGGTGACATTCAGAGGATGTCGTATCTGTAACGTTACCAAGATATAAAAATTTAATGGCCAAATTGAAAATGGTTAATTCTGTGGTAAAGACCAAATTTTTCATGTTAAAACTGGTTTAAGTTTTAATAATCTTTAAATTGGGTCTACTTGACAGCTTTTCTGAATGTAATATTTCAAGAATTTAACTGAGAG